CTTTGGCCCCCCCAGTTATATAGTTAAAAAATGCCCTGGCACCTCTTGCGATAGGAACTTCGCATAGCTTACCACATCAATTTAATATAATTTGCATATTGAATCGATTACAATTAAAACAAAAACCGGAAATGAACTTCAGATTGTTCTCGTTTATAGAAATGAGTAGTTAGCGTGGGCGGGAATGTCACAACGTGTCGCGTATTATAAACCACCAGGGTCTCGTTTTTAAGCCTTTTCCTTAAAAATAGGAATTGTGCATATTTTTTGGGACATTTTACAATTAGTATATGTTTCTAAGCAGTTTAATCGATGCAAAGTTCAAGGATCATCAAATCACTGATCTTTTTACGCAGGTGGAGTGAGGGGTATGCAGTTTATCTCACCTCTGGAACCCAATATTAATGCCTTCACAGCAGAACTGCCCACCAAAACCTTCATTCCCATTGAATATATTAAAATGTGTCTGATTACTTTCTAAATTACAGTACAAAATTTCCCTACCTGTTATCTAGGTCAGTTACAAAGTTGTAAATAATAACTAAATAATGAATCAATCTTATCAATAAAATAAAATAAGTGGCCCAAGTAATTTTGGGAATTTATAGGAAAACTAAGGAATTTTACAACTCTTGCCAGGGAATTCTAAATGTCAACTCAAATTTGTATGAATATTTCTTTCGACAAGCGATCGAAGATTCGAAGCACAATATTACCCGTCAAATGTTCTTTTTGTTTATACACTAAATGGCAGAGTGTCCTGAACCAACATCCAACGGCACCACTAATGCAAATATTACATCCAACTTACTAGTTAAAATTGAAGACCTTGTGAATTGCCGAAGCGTTGAGAGGCAAAGGCTGGAGTTTAAGGCATCATGGAACAAGGGCCCAACAATGTTTCAAGTTGTCAAGACCATCAGTGCATTTGCTAATGACTTTTATAATGACGATGGTGGATATATAGTGATTGGGGTGGCAGAACCAGAAGAGATCGAGAGTTTAGAAGCTGCAGTTGAACAGATCGTCCTTCCTCCCGCCGGCATAAATCCGAAGGATATTGAACGTACCCAGAAGGAAATTTTGGGCGCATGCAAAAGCCTTATATCGCCATCGTACTCGCCAATATTGTCCCCTGAAGTACTTCAGGATAAGCTGGTTTTAGTTATATGGACACAAGCTAGTGATGATCGACCACATAAAGCACGTGTATCCACCAAGGGCGAATATCATTATTTCATTCGCAAAGGACCCGAAACAAAAAGAGCCACTGATAAAGAGATCAAGTCTTTGATGGAAAGCTCGTGTAAAACACCATTTGATGATCGTATGGCTAGACTGGGTATGTTCTATCAAGTATTTAGTCAGTCAATTTATACAAGTTGGCGTTTTAATTAGCAGCAGAATTCGATTTCTAACCATTTTTTGCGGTTGATGAAAATGATTATATATTTAACTTTTTAGAATTATGTAACCACTGTGAATTACGCATGAGATTCAACATGACATTCAACATGATATTCGATATTGAGTGAACTTACTTATTTCAATCACTCAGAAGTAAAAATGAAAATTATTGCCATTTCTTCTTCTCCAAGTGAATTAGAAAGAAAGAAATCACATAGTTCGCATTAACTAATTAATACCTTTATGTTTTATTGCATAAAAACCAACAAACGCGCATCAAAGCAGCCAAAAAGACATTTTACTAACAATAACCACATAACGGAAAAGTCCAAGCCTTCGACTTGAGCAAAACCTTTTGCTACGTATCTAGCTTTGTACTTATCAATTTGACCATCTGCCCCATACTTGACTTTGTATACCCATTTTCCAGGTAAAACTTTTCTATCTTTCGGTTCTCGAACAAGTGTCCAAGTGTTATTGTCCTCAAGCGATTCGAATTCTGCTTGCATTGCTTGTTTCCAATATTTAGCTTGTGTTGAACTTACAGCATCTTTGCACGTTTTTGTTTCTGTGACAGTTTCTTCTTGGGTTGTTTTGAAAGTAAAAGGGTTACCGTGTCTTTCGGGAGGTCGTCTATTTCTATTTGCTCTTGGAATTGATGTTTCTTCTTCATCTTCCAATTGATCATGTGTATTTGTGATTACTTCTCTACTTTCCTCCACTTTATCTTCAACCGGTTTCTCGGTGGCTTGATCATTTGAACGTTCATGGTCAAGATCAATGTTTGGACTTTCCAAAAATGACTCTTCTGGTCCTTTGCTGAGAATGACTGAATTTCATCTTCCTTGAAGAGAACGTTACAGGTTTTAATGATTTTCTTTGTAGAAAACTCTTGTAAAATGTACGCTATACTCTTGTCATCGTAACCGAGGAATTTTGCTTTCACAGATCTGGAATCGAGCTTTCGTAAGTTGACTTTTCTTTTCCTTACATAAGCTGTGCAACCGAATACTCTAAGACGAATTCTTCTTGGTGCTTTACCAGTGAATAGTTCAAAAGGACTCCTGTTTTGATTGCTGTTTATGCTCACTGTGAGATTTCGAATGTGGACGGCGGTAGCTAAAGCTCTTACCCAATAACTCTGGTAGTTTTGCTTCAATGAATAAACACTGTTCCATTTCTACTAAAGTTCGATTAAAGCGTTCTGCGACTACATTTTGGTGTGGTGTTTCAGGAACTGTGAATTCTTGTTTTATCTTTGAATCTCTGCAATAATCTTTAAATTGCTTGGCTGTATACTCTGCCCCATTATCTGTCCGTAATCTTTGGGGTGTTCCTGCTTCCGCCGCATATTCTTTGAATTTGTAAAGAACTTGGGACTTTTTACTCATATACTTTACAACTGAATACTTCGTATATTCATCTATGAAGGTAACTGCATATTTTGACCCATTTAGACTAGCTACTTCGAAAGGACCGAGAATGTCTGAATAAACAAGTTCGAGAGCTTTCTGAGCTTTGGTTTGTACTTCTTTTTGTACTGGTTTGCTTGCTTGTTTTCCCATTGCACACGTTTCGCATACGTCTTTCGAGTTATTCTTACATCCAATAGTACGCTCTACATCAACTTTGTTGAGATGCCCCAGACGTTTGTGCCACAAACCGATATCTCCTTTGATATCTCCTTTGCTCGTGTTGCAAGTGACTGGGTCGACTAGGTTTCGAAAGGTGACTTTTAGGAAGAACAGACCAGTGTCTTTAAGTTAATTTCATGACCATCATTCAACACCATTCTTGCTTTACTCTCGTTAAATATAAATCTATGGCCAAAACTAACGGCTGTATTGACTGAAAGGAGGTTTACCTTACCTCATAGCTTGGTACATAAAGAACATTTCTTAGGACCATTTCTGCCATCTTTCCATGCTTTGACTGGACCGTTATTGGCACGTCGCCAATTCCTTCAACAGGTGTGAGGTTTCCTTTGGGATCTCCAACACTCTTTTCATTACAAGGACGAAGATTTTGAAACACATTATTTTGATTTATGATGTGATCTGTACAACCAGTGTCGACGATTAGATAATTTAAATATTCTGAGCCATTGTTTTCTTCTTGCAAAGGACTTACGAAACAATTGGAATAAGATGAGACTGCAGGTGGTTCTTTTCCTTGAGATTTTTCTGTTTTCCCAGCACTTCTACAAGCTTTTGCCAAGTGACCTCTTTTCTTGCATATGGAACATGTTGCTGAGCTCCTTTTATTACATTGTTTTGCAGAATGTCCTGGATTTCCACAAACATAGCAATTTTTCGTCTGTGGTGTCGAACTCTTATTTCTAGCTTGTCTATTTGAAGAATGCATTGCCACTGACGAGTTATCTTCCGTTTGATTTCTTTGTATTCGACTGTCTTCATAATTTTGCAGTCGGGTTCTTAGTTCAGACAATGTCGATGCTGGATTAAAACTTTCTTGTACAACAAAATGTTCGTATTTGTCTGGAAGACCATTAATAATTAATGCATTAAACAGTGTTTCTGATATTTTCTCACCAGCTTCAGATAGTCTAGACATAAGATCTTGAGAACGCACAAAATATTCGTGTAATTTTTCATCTTCTCCGAGCTGTAAACGCGATAACTGTCTCATTAGGCTTACTACGGTAGGCTTTTCCACGTTTGAATAACGTTGCTGTAATAAACGCTACGCATTTGCTCCATCACCCGTTCCATCTGGGGACAAACAATC